GAAAATAAGACATTTTGGGGGGGCTAGCAATCTGAATCTGTGCCAGTAACCTAATGGCCATTCTTGATAGCCTATAATTAAGTCACTGCCCCTTTTTCCACAATCTGGTCTTGCAAGACCTGTTTACCTAAGTACTCCCATTTTACAGAGGCCATAAACCATGAACAATACACCACCCCCGGAGGGGGGTATCAGCACTGGCACCAGGCCAGGCCTTTAGGTGTGGTCTCACAGCCTCCATCCCAACACCTGGGGCTTTTTGCAAAGCCCGAAAAAGGTCTGGAAGTCCCATCCATACTTGGGGGACAGAGAAACCAAAGGGTATAAAGGGAGAGCTTCCTCCATATTGGTTTGCTCAGGATTTGGAGAGGAACAGTCTCCCCTGAGTCACTGTACCGGTACATGTGAAACATCTGAAAATAAATGGGTTTTTCCTGTATCTCCAATACTCCTGCATATTTTTCAGTCTCCTGGTAAATTCTGGAACAGTCAGGGGTTGGGGGAGGGGGGTGCTGAGTGGACACTGAGGATCTTTAGGCCAGTAAATCTACTCCATATGACAGATACTACAGTGAAAATACAGGTCATTATTACTACACATTTGTCCAAACCCATAGAATGTACAACCGCAAGAGTGAACTTTGGGTGATTATGACGTGTTCATCCCTTGTGACAAATGTACCAGCCTATGGGGGATGTTCACAATAGGGAAGATTATGCATGTGTCGAAGCAGGGGATATATGTGAAATCTCTGTATCTTCTTAATTTTTTCTGTGAACCTAAAACTAAAGACTTAAAAAAAATAAAGTCTTTATAAAGAAAAAAAAGGAAAAAACAAAATGAACAGAAAATAACTCCCTAAAACAAACATAAAAAGATCATTTCTCTCCAGGGAAGCAGAGCACACCTTTCAGGCTCGGGTGTGGCATAGTCCTCTCCCTCTCCGTGAGCCTTGAGGGAGGGGCATTCCTCCAGGGCCCAGGAAGGAGGCTGGGCCTGGCTGGAGAGAAGTGGCCTGGCCATGATCTCATGGTGCTGATGTCCCTGCACTGTCCACCATGGCAGGACTAGCTACACGGAGTTATTTAAACTTAAATGAATAAAGCAGAAAACTAAATATTCAGTTCGCACTAGCCTCATTTCAAGTGCTAATGGCTACTGTCCTGGACAGCACCGGTTTGGAACATTTCCATCATCTCAGGAAGTCCTACTGCTGGCTAGCGCTGCTCTAGACGCAGCCACAGGGACTCACCTGTGGGTTGAGTAAAATCACAAATCAAGAATGCATGTGGTTCAGGACCCCCCCCCCCCAACCCCACCCCCACTCTCAGATTCCAAATGACACCTGAGCACCGACACCGTTTCCACGGGGACAATTTCCAAAGGCAGAAGCCCAAGGCTGGGCCGGGGCTGCAAAGGGCTTGGGAGGCGTGCTAACTGCATCAGCGATTGAAGAGCAACTTCTCTTTTGCAATCCTTGCTGGTCTGACAGGCTCCTGCAGAATTACATCACTTCCTAAAAAAACAGGCAAACACTTCTCCTTCAAGTTAGCACCTACCCAAACAAGCAGGAAACAGGAAATGTTCACGTTTCAGGGAGGCTGAAGCCAGCGCAGCATCGTGAGGGAGGGAGCGCCCAGGCCAGCTGACATGAAGGCTCCCCGTGCTGCCCGCCTCTGTGCCCTGATAATCGCACTCTTCCTCACTGCCCGGGCTCAGGGTAAGCTACCTCCACTGCAGGGAGGAGGATAATGAAGCCTTGTTCGGTGCCCCAGGCTCTAGAACTCTGCTGGGGAGGCTAACACCCAGAAAGTGTGATCCTGTTTTGTGAAAGAAGTGGAGGAAATTCGAACTGTCTTTTTAAGGTGGTGGGGTGGGAGGGTGAACTTGCCTTTCCCTGCAGCTATGAAATCGCGCTCTAGCTCGATCGCTTACTGTGACCTCCCTGCAATCTTTTTGTCTTCTAAGATATGTGGGTCCCTGTAATTTACCAGCTTTAATGGGCATATTAAGAAAACCATAAAGTCTTTGGCAGTTCATGGAAAAGAACGTTTCATTCAGCTGAAACAGAGAAATAATAATACATTTGATTTTAATAGTGTGGGCTGAGAAGTCTGCTGGTTTCAAACACTCCTCGAAAAATTGTGGTATGGAGATTTACTACTGGGAAGTATACTAAAGAAAAACATACGTTTAGAAAAATGCAAACAGGAAATTATCTGAGGCGTTCCCAGGCATCCACTCTTAACTTTTCAAGAAAGGTCTTTCATTTGTTTTTCTTTGATCTTGTTACTTTGGGGGACTATGTCTTTGAGTTGATTGTTACTGATGCTTTGTTTAAAAAAGTGATATGATAATAATTGCAAATCAATGCTACTGAAAAAGGCAAAATGTTCAATCTAATTCTTTTGAGCTAAGAGCAGCTATTGGTTTATATCCTTGGCAGTTAGAGCAAGCATGGTCACCCTCAAATGCCTCTTACAGTTGTGTTGACTTGCCCTTGGGTAAATAAACTTGCTGCCCATGGTTTCTTCAGGGCATGCTACCTGCTTCTGGTGTAGGACAGAACTTCAAGCAATAGGCAAGTTCTCAAGCTGCAGTTCTTTAAATAGGATGGGGCATTAGGCACTGATGATCTAACAGATGTCACAACTTCCCGGAGATTAGCAGTCAGCATGCAACCACCCCCACCCCTCCAATTTCTCTTTCCCTGTGAGTGCTCTGCACATGGTCCCTCCAGGCTTTGAGGTGGGAAATGAAAGGTGAAAGGCAAACCATTCCAACTGAAAAGGTGTTTGGTTGAAATTGAGGTTAGCGTTTAAAATAAGTTTGGGGGACAATGTTTTATGCACAAAGTTTTGGAGCTGGAAGGGAGCCTAAAGATTATGCAGCTCGAGCTGCACTGGGGGTCCAGGGGAAGAAACTGAGGCAGAGGAGTTTGTGACGTCTGAATCCCCGCTGGTCAGATTTTCTGACGTGGACTCCAGGGGGCCAACCACGCCCCCTGCCAAGACCGCTGAGCTAGACTCCCTTCTCCTCAGGGCATCCCTCAGCACACCAAGGAAGTGGAGCCTCGCCATCCCATTTCCACCTCTTGTAACCCTTATGACTACCACAAACACCCCCCTGAGAGTAATATGAACCTTGCCTGAGGATTTTCTTGAGCTTCTTAAAAATGAATAGAAGTATTTGCAATTGGGGAGATGCAGAAGAAAAATCGGAAGAGACTCAATCCTTAAAACTTTTCTTTCTGAGACCCTACCTGATCATGTGACTCTTCCACTTAAAGACCTCCAGTGGCTCCTCGTTTATGCTCCTCGGACTCACACCAATCTCCTTCCCAGTGGCACCTCCTTCCATGTGTCCTCCCACTCCCTAGCCGCACCCCTCTAGTCACACTGAGCTGTAGTGTTGACAGGTAGTGTTAGCATGTCAGAAGTCAAAGACAAAAAGCTGCATTTAAATCACAGATGATAATCTGCATTGTAGTTGAGCACAGGGTTTATCTAGCTAATCCAACACATTTATTGGGCCCTCCCTGGATTCCCCAGGTCTGAAAATACAAAAATGCCACTTGCAAAATGCATGTATAATCAAAGGTTATTGCTTTGAGATTAGTCAAGGAAAAGACTACTCTAAATGAATATATATTTTAAAATTAATTAATGTATATCCTTTTGATCTGATGGTGCCTAAGACTTGAGGATGTGAGTTGGTTTATAGGTGTCACACTTGTATTTCCTTGGGTTCTTCAAAAATTACCTTGGAACTGTCTGGTGGGAGAATCCAATCTCCTGAACAGCCCAACTTTCCCTTGCAAGCATATTGAGGGATAGGTCTCAAATGAGGCCTTTAGTAACCACAATCAGGCAACATTATCTAATACCTGCAGTTCCTTGAGGCCTGCCTCATTACCTCTGAGTCAGCATCCTTCTCTTTATGTAGATTGAGAGCCTGATGAAGAATTGATTACTATCCCAGTGAGTAATCCACTTAGAAGTCACCAGGAGAGAAATGGGAAAACAGTTTTCTGCGATTTTGACCAAACAGAAGAGCATAGTTAAAGGAAAGCTCTGGGCCCAGGTATCTTGGCCAGTGTCAGATGCTAAGAAAGTTCAGACTCAAGGTGACATTCTGCCCCCGGAGTGAAAGGAGACATGCCTACCTCATTCCTTACCCTGAGCCCTGTCAGTGTCAGCTTAACACTATCCGCAAGCTAAAAGCAACTTCTCAGATACCAAAGGCATGGGATTTATTAGCTGCTGCAAGCAGGATGGTTTGTAGAAAGAAGGTCAAGGGCAGAAGGCAGAAACAAGGTGGCCGCAACTGTTCGGGTGGCCAGAGTCAAACACCGGATTGGACAGAGAGGGCTGGGAGATAGTCTGGGCTGATTCAGAAGAGTAAGAACCATGTAATTACTGATTAATGAACCTTCAGAAGGAGATAAAGAACTGGAGAACATACCAGTTGCATAAATGAAGTGGCACTTTCTGACACTGTCCTCATTTCAATGAATGTGACTGCCACCTGCGATTGTCTGGGACAGTCCCAGTGAAGCAGTAATGATGATGATAGGGAACATACACAGTGCTCATTACATGCCAGGCACTGTTCAAAAACTGTCCACGAACTAATTCATTTAGTTCTCCTAACAGCCTAAGGCTATGGGTACTAGTACCCCTGTTTTACATATGAGAAAACTGAAGCACAGAGAGGTTAAATGATTGGCCCAAGGTCACACAGTGAAGCAGTAGATCTAAGCAAGATTCAGTTTCAGGAGTCTATGCTCTAACCTTATACTATATTGCCTCTGGGTTTGCAGGCTATGTGTCTAGTTTCAGGTTTGGAAAAATATGTCTCTGGTGCCTTCCCAACCGTAGGTAGACACATAAACTCTTGGCTGGGCTCTAAGGTCACTTACCACATGTTAATAAAGAAGCTGTATGTGGTGTGGTCAGAGACTGGCTGACAGGAAAAGGAGTGGTGAGAGTTGGGTTAAACTTTGGCCTGGAGAGGGGGGAGGGAGAGGCTGAAAGGTATAGAGTGAACAAAACAGACTCTGGGGATTAGCATAGTTAACACCAGAAGCAGGTAGGCCAATGCTGAAGTCACTGGGTAAGAGGCTTCAGGGTGTGGGAACCAGAGAGGAAAAGCCCAGCCTTGTGGGAAAGAGCTGACCCCAAGGACCAAACACACACACATACACACACATAAGCAGAGAGGGATTTGCTGAGGCTTAAAGTCCCCCTGCTTCTAAAAGGATGACCCAGGAAATCAGAAGAGGGCAGGATCTTGGCTGGGATGAGCTCAATTCTATAAAGAAACAATGCAGCCTGCAATTTGCCTACTTGTGTATAGTTTGTATAGTTCGCACCACCCTCAAATGTTGGCAAAATGTGGAGAAACAGAAACTCTGAACCGCTGGTGGGAGGGTAGATTAGTGCCCTCACCTAGTCTGTCTTGCGGCTTAACACATCCATTGGGCTTTTAATTTCAGCTATCATATTTTTATTTCTAGAAAATCCTTCATCTATATTATAGATATATTATAATATACTAGAGGCCTGGTGCACAAAATTCGTGCGGGGAGGGTGTCCCTCAGCCCAGCCTGCACCCTCTCCAATCTGGACCCCTCGAGGGCAGTCAGACATCCCTCTCATAATCCAGGACTGTTGGCTCCCAACCGATTGCCTGCCTGACTGATTTCCGCTAAACGCTTCTGCCTGCCAGCCTGATCACCCCCTAACCACTCCCCTGCCAGCCTGATCGACGCCTAACTGCTCCCCTGCCAGCCTGATTGCCCCCAACTGCCCTCCCCTGCCGGCTTGGTGTCCCCCAACTGTCCTCCCCTGCAGGCCTGGGTCCCCCCAAACTGTCTTCTCCTGCAGGCCTGGGTCCTCCCAAACTGTCCTCTCCTGCAGGCCTGGGTCCCCCCCAACTGCCCTCCCCTGCCAGCCATCTTGTGGCGGCCATCTTGTGTCCACATGGGGGCAGCCATCTTGTGTGTTGGAGTGATGGTCAATTTGCATATTACCTCTTTATTAGATAGGATTATATATATTGTGTCTTGGTTTTATTATTGTCTTGTGTTATTTGTTTCTTCTTTTATGTCTTTATTTTAAACACTAGAGGCCCAGTGCACAAAAATTTGTGCACTCGGGGGGGTCCCTCAGCCCGGCCTGTGCCCTCTCACAGTCTGGGAACCCTTGGGGGATGTCCATCTACTGGCTTAGGCCTGCTCCCCGGGGGATCGGGCCCAAGCTGGCAGTCAGACATCCCTCTGGCAGCCCAGAAGTCCTCGGGGGATGTCCACTTACCAGCAGGGAGCAGACCTAAACTGCAGTCGGACATCCTTAGCGCTGCTGAGGAGGCAGGAGAAGCTCCCACCACCACCGCTGTACTGGCAGCCATCAGCCTGACTTGTGGCTAAGCAGAGCTCCCCCTGTGGGAGCGTACTGACCACCAGGGGGCAGCTACTGCATTGAGCATCTGCCCCCTGGTGATCAGTGTGTGTCATAGTGACCAGTCATTTCCAGTCGTTCTGCTGTTAGGGTCAATTTGCATATTACCCTTTTATTATATAGGATAGAGGCCTGGTGCACGGGTGGGGGCTGGCTGGTTTGCCCTGAAGGGTGTCCCGGATCAGGGTGGGGGTCCCGCTGGGATGTCTGGCCAGCCTGGGTGAGGGGCTGAGGGCCGTTTTCAGGCTGGCCACATCCC